CCCCAAAACCCCAAAACCCCAAAACCCCAAAACCCCAAAACCCCAAAACCCCGGTTTTTGGAGCTTTTATTGATATATGTGAATATTTAATAGATTATTAAAATTAAATTAAGACTCACAAAACGGCAATGGAAAAGAAAGAACAATTTTGCATTTTTGTAAGCTATTTTAACTAACTCTCCTGGTATATCCAGCCCTATGAGAGCCCATTCACGATCTAACTCTTATTTAGGAGTGTGGAAAATACTCAAACCCATTCTCTCAGCCCTTCATGGGCTCACATGAGTGTATTGATAAGTACAGGATCAGAGAGGAGAATTTAGTAGCCAAAGCATCATCTCCTTGCGAAGCTATGCATCATTCTCACCATCATCATAATAATGAAGATATAATGTAAGTTATTGATCTAAGCTCTGTTGTCGATAGTTTTTATGACTTAGACGCACTACTAATTCTCAATCCGGAAAAGTTTAATTACTTTCTCATTTTACCGACACTAAATGCAACATTTCGACACATACTGGTCTGACTATATGATACCAATGTCAGAATTTTCGTTCTTTGAAATGCTGTAGATAGAAGTAACTTTTCTCCTCTTACTTTCTGACCAAGGATCATCTTTCATAGCTCTTAAGAGAATGTATTTGGCTCAAATACAGCACAATTTCGTGTGATGTTACTAACGCAAGACTCTTCCTTTCTAAAATTTAGAGTTTATATTAGAGTTGTTTTCCAATGTTTTGTTGATATAATTGTCCTGATAGTATTGAGGATAACAAGAGCCTTCCCTCTTGTGCTATACCTATAGTGTAAGCCATTCATAGTTGCTCAATAAGAGTCAGTTGCTGCTCAATTAAATTATCAGATTATATCGAATTGAAATTTCTTCTAATAACAGTCAAAAATTATTTTTGAGAAATCATGATTTATACCATAAATTAACTTCTGGTTCATTTTAAATACGAACGTCACACATTTTTCTAGGTCACCTTCCAGAAATTTTGATAATGAGTTTGACAAATGCTCTCTCGATCAAATGTCTGAGAGGGCATTCCAAGAGCAACTAAACTCGAACGTCCCCTTATCCGATAAGGAGTATCAGATCCAGTTGAAAGAGGTTGCTGGAGACACTCCCGACTTCGGTGAACTGTTTGATCCACTTGACTTTTATTGTGACTCCGAAAAAGAAGAAGAGGCTCTTGGTAACAACACAAAGCCATGCTTGACTAATAAAGATTTCCAGAGTATCCCAGACCTTCAGGCGCAAATCGAGCCAGATTTACCTCCTATATCTATTATAAAAATTCAGCAAAAGAAGGAAGCCGTGCCAGCCTTGTTGAGGATCACCAACCAGAGTATGCCCTCAATTAAGGAGGAAAGGAAGGATGAAGTCTTTCCTTCTCAGGATAGGACACTTTTAATGAAACTTCCAGAAGAAAATACTGACATGAATCCTACCATATCTTTCAAAAAGGATACTCTACCGGATAATATACCATTAGAAATCGCCACAAAGCCCCAGAATTCTCAAGAAGAGGAAAAGAATAGCTTTGAGTGGAATAACTTCCTTGTAAGAAGAGCTTGCTTCAGAGGCCTGAGTGAATTCTACAAGAAGAAGTTCAGCAAGATTAATATCTCCTGGCAGAGGAAGAGAGTGAACAAGAAGAAGAAAACTCCTATGCACGACCTTATTAAACAGTTTGCTACAAACCAGTTCGGTAACATGATTGATAACTTGAGCGAAGAACAATGGAGAGATTTTAGAAACACCCTTTATAGCGTCCTCTTCTCCCACAGATATAAGAAGACTGATGATTTCCTTGAAGGAGTCGACTTTTCAATAATCAGAGGCGTGTTGTACTCATACACAACAGAGCTTCGGGTGGAGCTCTTGACCAACCCATTCTTTTCTATAATGATGCTAAAGTTCTTAGAAAAGGGTAAATCTTCATTTCTCAGAGAGAAACTGAAGGGGAAGCCTGCTCTCTACTGAGAAGAGGTCAAATCTGAATTGGCCTGACTCGAAGAAGAGGCAAAAGGCAACCTATCTAACTATAAATTCGTCGAATAAATATTAGCATATTTTCCGATTTCAAAAGAATGTCTGTCCAATGGGGTTTTGGGGTTTTGGGGTTTTGGGGTTTTGGGGTTTTGGGGTTTTGGGG